GCCCAGCCTCTAGTGGTAGTGCCAGAAATGGAGGCAAACCTGGGGGTCCTAGCCTGGGACCCAAAGATACCTGCCATGGCCACACTGGTGTGAGCACAGTTCATGGTGTGGATGGCTGTCACGGTCTAGACACCTGTCACAGTGTGCACACCTGTCACAGTGTGCATGCCCGTCACAGTGTGCACGCCCGTCACAGTGTGCACGCCCGTCACAGTGTGCACGCCCGTCACAGTGTGCACTCCCGTCACAGTGTGCACGCCCGTCACAGTGTGCACGCCCGTCACAGTGTGCACGCCCGTCACAGTGTAGATGCCTGTCACAGTGTGCACTCCCGTCACAGTGTGCACGCCCGTCACAGTGTGCACGCCCGTCACAGTGTGCACGCCCGTCACAGTGTGCACGCCCGTCACAGTGTGGACGCCCGTCACAGTGTGCACGCCCGTCACAGTGTGCACGCCCGTCACAGTGTGCACTCCCGTCACAGTGTGCACGCCCGTCACAGTGTGCACGCCCGTCACAGTGTGCACGCCCGTCACAGTGTGCACGCCCGTCACAGTGTGGATGCCTGTCACAGTGTGGTGTTGATGCCTGTCACAGTGTGCACGCCCGTCACAGTGTGCACGCCCATCACAGTGTGCACGCCCGTCACAGTGTGCACGCCCGTCACAGTGTAGATGCCCGTCACAGTGTGCACGCCCGTCACAGTGTGCACGCCCGTCACAGTGTGCACGCCCGTCACAGTGTAGATGCCTGTCACAGTGTGCACTCCCGTCACAGTGTGCACGCCCGTCACAGTGTGCACGCCCGTCACAGTGTGCACGCCCGTCACAGTGTGCACGCCCGTCACAGTGTGGACGCCCGTCACAGTGTGCACGCCCGTCACAGTGTGCACGCCCGTCACAGTGTGCACGCCCGTCACAGTGTGGATGCCTGTCACAGTGTGCACTCCCGTCACAGTGTGCACGCCCGTCACAGTGTGGATGCCTGTCACAGTGTGGTGTTGATGCCTGTCACAGTGTGCACGCCCGTCACAGTGTGCACTCCCGTCACAGTGTGCACGCCCGTCACAGTGTGCACGCCCGTCACAGTGTGCACGCCCGTCACAGTGTGCACGCCCGTCACAGTGTGCACTCCCGTCACAGTGTGCACGCCCGTCACAGTGTGCACGCCCGTCACAGTGTAGACACCTGTCACAGTGTGCACTCCCGTCACAGTGTGCACGCCCGTCACAGTGTGCACGCCCGTCACAGTGTGCACGCCCGTCACAGTGTGCATGCCTGTCACAGTGTGCACGCCCATCACAGTGTGCACGCCCGTCACAGTGTGCACGCCCGTCACAGTGTGCACGCCCGTCACAGTGTAGATGCCTGTCACAGTGTGCACGCCCGTCACAGTGTGCACGCCTGTCACAGTGTGCACGCCCGTCACAGTGTGCATGCCTGTCACAGTGTAGATGCCTGTCACAGTGTGGTGTTGATGCCTGTCACAGTGTGCACGCCCATCACAGTGTGCACGCCCGTCACAGTGTGCACGCCCGTCACAGTGTGCACGCCCGTCACAGTGTGCACGCCCGTCACAGTGTGCACGCCCGTCACAGTGTAGATGCCTGTCACAGTGTGCACGCCCATCACAGTGTGCACGCCTGTCACAGTGTGCACGCCCGTCACAGTGTGCATGCCTGTCACAGTGTAGATGCCTGTCACAGTGTGCACGCCCGTCACAGTGTGCACGCCCGTCACAGTGTGCACGCCCGTCACAGTGTAGATGCCTGTCACAGTGTGCACGCCCGTCACAGTGTAGATGCCTGTCACAGTGTGCACTCCTGTCACAGTGTGCACGCCCGTCACAGTGTGCACGCCCGTCACAGTGTGCACGCCCGTCACAGTGTGCACTCCCGTCACAGTGTGCACGCCCGTCACAGTGTGCACGCCCGTCACAGTGTAGATGCCTGTCACAGTGTGCACGCCCGTCACAGTGTGCACGCCCGTCACAGTGTGCACGCCCGTCACAGTGTGCACGCCCGTCACAGTGTGCACTCCCGTCACAGTGTGCACTCCCGTCACAGTGTGCACGCCCGTCACAGTGTAGATGCCTGTCACAGTGTGCACGCCCGTCACAGTGTGCACGCCCGTCACAGTGTGCACGCCCGTCACAGTGTGCACGCCCGTCACAGTGTAGATGCCTGTCACAGTGTGGTGTTGATGCCTGTCACAGTGTGCACGCCTGTCACTCTATGGACTCCTGTCATAGTGCAGATGCCTGTCACAGTGTGGATGCCTGTCACTCTATGGACTCCTGTCATAGTGCAGATGCCTGTCACAGTGTGGTGTTGACGCCTGTCACTCTATGGACTCCTGTCACAGTGTAGATGCATGTCACAGTATGGTGTTGACACCTGTCACAGTGTGGACAGCTGTCACAGTGTGGTGTGGACGCCTGTCACTGTGTTGTGGATGCCTGTCGCAGTGTGGTGTGGACGCCTGTTGTGGTGTGGATTCCTGTTGTGGTGTGGATTCCTGTTGTGGTGTGGATTCCTGTTGTGGTGTGGATTCCTGTTGTGGTGTGGATTCCTGTTGTGGTGTGGATTCCTGTTGTGGTGTGGCCGCCTGTTGTGGTGTGGACGCCTGTCACGGTGTGGTGTGGACGCCTGTCACTGTGTGGTGTGGACGCCTGTCACAGTGTGGTGTGGATGCTTGTTGTGGTGTGGATGCCTGTCGTGGTGTGGTGTAGATGCCTGTTGTGGTGTGGATGCCTGTCACAGTGTGGTGTGGATGCCTGTTGTGGTGTGGATGCCTGTCACAGTGTGGTGTGGCCGCCTGTCATGGTGTGGTGTAGATGCTTGTTGTGATGTGGATGCCTGTTGTGGTGTGGATGCCTGTTGTGATGTGGATGCCTGTCGCGGTGTGGTGTAGATGCCTGTTGTGTAGACACCTGTTGTGTGGATGCCTGTCACGGTGTGGTGTGGATTCCTGTTATGGTGTGGATTCCTGTTGTGGTGTGGATTCCTGTTGTGGTGTGGATTCCTGTTGTGGTGTGGATTCCTGTTGTGGTATGGATGCCTGTTGTGGTGTGGATTCCTGTTGTGGTGTGGATTCCTGTTGTGGTGTGGATGCCTGTCGCGGTGTGGTGTAGATGCCTGTTGTGTAGACACCTGTTGTGGTGTGGTCTCTGCAGAGTGTTGATCCTCATTGTGGTGTGAACTCTAGGCCTGTTGTGAAGGCTCAATGCCTGGAAGACACCAGGCAAATGAAGAGCCCAGGACAGGATCAAGGGAAGCAGGCCCAGGTCCGCCTTGTAGGCATCTGGCTTTTCCACTGTCTTTTGGTTCTGTGGTTTTTAGGAAACTCAACTCACAGCTCCTGAGCTGTGAGCACAGGTTGCGACCCGTGTCGCACAGTCTTCATCAGAGCGAGGGAAGCGTCAGGAAGCATCTCTGCATTTTACAGGGAAGAGACTGAGGCCCTTGGCCAGGGGGCACAGCTACACCTGAGCCTTCCAAGCCCCTGCCTCTCCACAGGGGCTCTGGACATCCTTGGGGTCCCAATCCTCCATCCGCTCCCTCAGTGCACGACCAGAGCTTCCTGAAGAGATGCTGCAGAGGGTCCCAGAGTCCCGGATGTCCCCTGCAGAGCGTGATGGGCTTGAGTGGAGGAGGTGGGGCTGGAGGGCTGTACCCCACCTGCCCCTCCTGCAGAGCTGGCTGACACCCTTGACCCCGTGTTTACTGGAGGTGGGGGGTGGGGGTGGGGGTGTGCCTCTCTCCTTCCCAGAGTTACAGAATTCTTGTTAGATCTTTAAATTTTATGTAAATTCTTCTTTCTCCCCTTGGAAGGATGGAGATCGTATTTTAATTAGTGGTGGTGTCAAAGGAGGCTAGATTAATTATCAAACTCTCAAGCTCCACATGGTTTCAATTTTCCCAGCAGGGCACCAGGGTCTATATTTGTAATTTTTTTTATTAAAATCATACCTCGTGCGTTTTAGGGGCACTGAGGTGCACTCTCTGAAGTTGTAAGGGTATGGTAACTCAGGAATTCGGGGCTGTGATTTTTGTTATGGAGAAGCAAGTCCCTTGTCACCTATGTTAAACTTCTGTGTATGAAGGAGGGGCAGGTGCTGGTAAGAGGGTCGTGTGTGTGTGTGTGTGTGTGTGTGTGTGTGTGTGTGTGTGATGGTCGAAATCAGAGAACTCCTGCTGCTGTGTGTGCAGAGGGCCAAAGTGTAAGAGTCAGGCACAGAAGTTCAAGACCAGAGGAGAGAGCTCAGATGGTAGTGCGCTCACTGGACACCACACAGCGCACTGTTGGAGAACAGTGTTCTGGCAGAGGGAGAGGGAAGGCCCTGGACACAGCTCTGGACACCCTGTCTTGAAGTCTAGCCTGGGGAGTCCCAGCTGGAGAGGGTGGGGTCTCGCCTGGGGTATTCTAGCTGGAGCAGGGGAAGTGGAGTTTTGGTTGGTCTTCTGGTCTCAGATGGCCGCAGTGAAGGGCAGATGAACATCACATGACCCCTTTCCCGAGGTCTTGCTCTGCATTCCTGTGTCTTCCCAGGTCTTGCAAGTGGCAGAGATTCCAAGGGTCAACCGCAGGGAGCCAGAGCAGGGGTCCTGGGCTTGACCATGGAGGAGATAGCTTGATGTCTCAGTGGCAGGATGCACGTGTGTGTTTATGTGCACGCACACATATGCACGCAGTCTGTACGTGTGTGTGTGCATGCATGAACATGCACACGCGCGAGTGTGCATGTGCACACACGCGTGCTAATCCATCCCTTCCTCTGGAGAGGCTACTTCTGGTCTCCGAGCGCTTGACCATCCTGATGGTGGGCGACGAGGGCAGGGCGCACAGACCTCACCTCTGCTGGAATCCTTGCACCTCAGGGGGAACTGAGAGGCTCCCGGGTCAGGCTGAGGGGGAGGGCCTCCTCAGCCTGACCGCGGGGGGCCCGGCCAGCCGGGGCACTGCCCGTGGCTGAGACCCACCTGTTCTCTGCCCTCACAGCCCAGCTCATCGTGGAGACAGACACCTTTGGAAGCCAAGTCCGGATCAAGGGCAAGGAGACGGAGTTCTACCTGTGCATGAACCGCAAAGGGAAGCTCGTGGGGAAGGTGAGTGCCGGCCCAGGGTCCTGGGCCGCGGGGAGGGGCGGTGGCGTGGCGTGGGGCCTCGGGGCGCGGCCGGCAGGAGGAGGCAAGGGTGTGAGTGCGAGGAAGGAGGGCCACCCAGTCTCTTCCTGTCCCCCCCCCCGCCCCTGCAGCCGGCCTGGCACGGCCGCCGGTACATGTGCACCCCTGGGCCCTGCTGGCCGTGCGGATCTGCGCTTGCTGAGGCTCTGGGGCATGCTGCTGCCCGCGTGCTGCCCCCGTGCCCGGTGGCCAAGCCCGTGACTGTCGTGTTAACCATCGCATGGCCAGGGTGCTGCCACAGCCTCAGCCCTGGCCTCAGGGTTCTAGTGTTTCAGAAAGATTGTATTGCAGGAAGCTTCGTGAAATGCAGGAGGGCAGGCAGGGACCCCTCCCCGCCAGGCTCTGGGCGCCTCGGATCTGCCCGGTGCCGGCAGTCGCGCACCTGCTGTCTCCGGCGTCCGGGTGACGTCACGCCCTGTCCCCTTGGCTCTGTGGCGACATCACACCCACTACAGTCTCCCCCTCACCACCACAGGTTTTTCTTTTTCAAAATTGCCTTGACGTAGTTGTGCACACAGGGATTTCAGCTTCAACCCCGCGGGAGAATGGAGGTGTCTGTCCAGTGCGTCTCGGCCTCCAATCAGTGTCAGCCCCTGTTCAACCCCGAGCGGCAGCGTGGCTCACGGTCTCTCTGAGGCTGAATCCTCTACCCTCGCTCTCCCACCCCTCCCCCTCCCCCTCCAGGCCGGCCTTGCGGGCCAAACATTGTCACGCCAGTGGTCACAGTTTCTTTTAGCTGACCATTTGAACACTGAGCACAAGCGGTTCTTCCCGGCAGTCCTGGTGGACGGGTAGCATGACTGTCCCGTTTCACAGAAGGAAACACTGGTTCTGTGTTTGTGGGGAAGCCCTCATTCCAGGGCCCACCCGAGAGCCGGACGCAAAGCTGTGTATAAGAAAAAATGAAACTGCTCTGCCCACCCCACGCGGCAGAAAGAGCAAAATAATAGCAATCTGAAGCATGGCCTGGGTGTCGACAAATGGTTTGAATTAGTGATTCACTTTCCGCTGTCCAGGCCAGGCCGGCCGGGTGTCAGGCCACGGCCGGGCGGGTGCAGGTCCCCCTGCCTGGCCCATCACCCTGGCTGCTGCCCGCCCCGGCCCCTCCCGGGCCCAGGCTGCAGAGCTGGGGCTCCGCCCCCCTTCTCTGTAGAGGCCGGGAGGCAAGGCCCTTCCCAGGGTCGGGACCCCAGGGCCCCGGAGGGGCTGGGCTCCGCTGCTGAGTCACATCCACGGAGCCGGCTCTGGTTTCCTGCTCTTACCCTCCCCAGCGTTAGTGTGGGTGACTGGTCCTCTGGCGCTGCGGCCGCAGCCCCTCCCTCCTGCCTCCGCCTCCCCCGCCGCTTCCCCTTCCCGGCCCCTCTCCTCCTCCCCGTCCACCTGGCCAGAAAGCCTGGGCCGATGCCAGCCTTGGAACCGCAGAGCCGCGGCCAGGCTCTCGGACCTGTCTGGCCCTGAGATCTGGCCCCAGACTGCTCAGCTTCTCACCCACTGCCCGTGCTGCGGCCTCCAGGTTCCTCCATCTGTCTGCTAAGGCCCGCCGGCCCGCTCCAAACTCCGTGTGGCTCCTGGCCTAGGGAAGGGCCTGTGGACAGGACGCACCGGCCCCACCGGCCCTGCCAGCGGCCTGTGCTCGGCCAAAGGGCCCCGTCGGGTCCCACGTCTCCGCCCCTCCCCCAACCTCAGGTCCCTGAGGACGGCGGCCCTGGCCTGGCCTTGTTGCTGCCAACTGTGCACCGACGCGTCCCCAGCCCTACCTGTGTGTCCTGCGCCCAGCTCCCCTTCCCCAGCGTCCCCGCCTGCAGCCCTGTCCTCGGTGCCTGCATCTGTCCCCTCTGTGCCCCGGGGTGGCCCCGGCTGCCCGGGTGCTGGAGCCCCAGGCGGCTCGCGGAGCCGGTCTCCTCACCTGCAGACGGCCACGCTGACCGCCGAGGAGCCGCGTCTGCTTCACGGCGTTCCTTTCCCTGGGAGGCCCCGGCCTCGGCTGCTCTGGAGTTTGTCCCAGGACGGCTTCCTTGCCCTGTTCTGTCCCTGGCACATCGCCGGCGGAGCGCCACGCACAGCCAGGGGCCGGCCGGGGGTCCTCTCAGCGCGGGCTCAGGTGCCCCAGCTCCTGACGCTAGTTGCGCCGGGGCTGCATCATGCCCGCCGAGTTCCCTGGCTGCCCTGCCGCCCGCAGGCCCAGCCCCGTCAGCCCTCAGCGCCTTTGACCCCCCACCCGCCAGTCCTGGGGGCTGTGTTCCCTCCATCTCACCTCCAGCTGCTGAAGGCCGGGGTGAGGGCTCACGCCCGGCACCCCGGTACTGGGAGGTGGAGACGGCTGGGTTGCGGTTTAAAGCGAGCCCAGCAAAGTGTGTCTGAGACCCGGCGTCAGAGATGCCAGCCATGGCGAGCTGCTTGCTTGTGACCCCAGCTGCGCGGGGCACAGGAGGAGGGCCAGGTCCTGGGCTGGGCCTAGCCAGAGTGAGGCCTGCGTGAGAAGTCACGGGAGCCAGCAGTCCCCAATCCCTTCTCTAAGCCGTAGTGCGCTCGGCCCTACCAGCGGCAGACCGGACGTCTCAGGGACCTTGACCTGCAAACGCTCTGGGCTCCCGGTCCTGGCTGAGCCCAGGCTGTCCTCGGGAGTGACCGGAAGCAGAGGCCCGGGCTGTCCACGGGAGTGACCGGAAGCAGAGGCCCGGGCTGTCCACCGGAGTGACCGGAAGCAGAGGCCCGGGCTGTCCACCGGAGTGACCGGAAGCAGAGACCCGGGCTGTCCTCGGGAGTGACCGGGAGCAGAGGCCCGGGCTGTCCTCAGGAGTGACCGGAAGCAGAGGCCCGGGCTGTCCACGGGAGTGACCGGAAGCAGAGGCCCGGGCTGTCCACGGGAGTGACCGGGAGCAGAGGCCCGGGCTGTCCTCGGGAGTGACCGGGAGCAGAGACCCGGGCTGTCCATGGGAGTGACCGGGAGCAGAGGCCCGGGCTGTCCACCGGAGTGACCGGAAGCAGAGGCCCGGGCTGTCCACCGGAGTGACCGGAAGCAGAGACCCGGGCTGTCCTTGGGAGTGACCGGGAGCAGAGGCCCGGGCTGTCCTCGGGAGTGACTGGGAGCAGAGGCCCGGGCTGTCCACCGGAGTGACCGGAAGCAGAGGCCTGGGCTGTCCACCGGAGTGACCGGGAGCAGAGGCCCGGACTGTCCACCGGAGTGACCGGGAGCAGAGGCCCGGGCTGTCCACGGGAGTGACCGGGAGCAGAGGCCCGGGCTGTCCACGGGAGTGACCGGGAGCAGAGGCCCGGGCTGTCCACCGGAGTGACCGGGAGCAGAGGCCCGGGCTGTCCACCGGAGTGACCGGGAGCAGAGGCCCGGGCTGTCCTCGGGAGTGACCGGGAGCAGAGGCCCGGGCTGTCCACGGGAGTGACCGGGAGCAGAGGCCCGGGCTGTCCACGGGAGTGACCGGGAGCAGAGGCCAGGGCTGTCCACCGGAGTGACCGGAAGCAGAGGCCCGGGCTGTCCTCGGGAGTGACCGGGAGCAGAGGCCCGGGCTGTCCATGGGAGTGACCGGGAGCAGAGGCCCGGGCTGTCCACGGGAGTGACCGGGAGCAGAGGCCCGGGCTGTCCACCGGAGTGACCGGGAGCAGAGGCCCGGGCTGTCCTCAGGAGTGACCGGAAGCAGAGGCCCGGGCTGTCCACGGGAGTGACCGGGAGCAGAGGCCCGGGCTGTCCACCGGAGTGACCGGGAGCAGAGGCCAGGGCTGTCCACCGGAGTGACCGGGAGCAGAGGCCCGGGCTGTCCTCGGGAGTGACCGGAAGCAGAGGCCCGGGCTGTCCACCGGAGTGACCGGAAGCAGAGGCCCAGGCTGTCCACGGGAGTGACCGGGAGCAGAGGCCCGGGCTGTCCACCGGAGTGACCGGGAGCAGAGGCCAGGGCTGTCCACCGGAGTGACCGGAAGCAGAGGCCCGGGCTGTCCTCGGGAGTGACCGGGAGCAGAGGCCCGGGCTGTCCACGGGAGTGACCGGGAGCAGAGGCCCGGGCTGTCCTTGGGAGTGACCGGGAGCAGAGGCCAGGGGCTTCTGTCTGGGCTCCCAAGTGGGGGAGGTGGGATGGTGTTCTGGTTGCTTTGACTTTTGTCTAAGGTCCTGACTTGAGAAGCTTCCAGAACTTTCCATGGAGGACCCAAGCCCAGGGAGCCCTCCCCTCAGGCTGCCTAGCCTGTGTTCCCTGGCCGCTGTCCCCACCACACTGCCTTTGGGCTCCTTTCCACTCTGCCCTTCTCCCCATCCCCGTGGTCTGCGGAGTTCGGCCTGCCATCAGCAGGGCTGAGGCCTGCCCTCTGCACAAAGGTGAACGTTCCTGGAAACGCTCACCTGTTCTCCACCTTCAACGGAAGCTGGAACCTGCCCGTCCACCTCCATGCGGCCTGGGAGCCGCCCGGAGCCATTCGACTGCGGACTCCAGTCCAGTGGCCCCTGCCCTCCCCAGCTGGTATCCCAGGAAGCCTGGGACCCCCAGAGCCAGTAGCCCAGACGCTGGCGTTAGACGGCGCTAAGTCTCTCATTGTACTTGGGACCAAGTTTGGAGATGTGCCACTCCCTCACCTTGCAGCTCCGTCCAGCGGCGTCCCCGGGGGGTCCAGCGGCCCTTGGGCAGCTGACTTAACGTCGGGTTTTGTGCAAATCTGTCACAACTCATTTTGGTTGCAAGTGGTACAGCGCGACGGGAAATGAGACCGTGTGGTCCCGTTACTCTGCGTGATGGCGGAGGGCCGTGAATGCCAGGCACGGCTGCCTCCAGAGCCCAGATGATGGCCCAGGGCTTGGTTCCTCTTCTTGGCTTGGCTTTCGTGGTGCTGGTGTCACGGTCAGACAAGGTCTCCTCCCGTGCTACAGTGGCTTGCCGCTGTTTCAGCCTTGCGAGTCCCTCCAGTGTGAACCGAGCCCTGTTTGTTGCTTTGCCCGATGGCCTGGGCCCCGACCAGGCACGGGGGCCTGTGGGAAGTGCTTTGGTCGGCCGGGCCCAGGGCTCTGGCTCCGGTAGGAGCGCAGAGGCTCCGCAGGACACTGGGAAGGAGTGGACTCCTGGGCTCAGTGGGAGTCTGTTACCCGATAGGCTTGCCAGGCCCGCGGTCTGCCCAGCCCCGACACGGCCACCTGCCCACGGCACTACCGTCTTGTCCCTCTCGCCTGCCTTCTCTTTGCCCCTGCCTCTTCACAACGACACTTCATGGGGTCGAGTCGGACTCCTGTGGCTTCTCCAGGGCGCACTGTAAGGTCCAGTGTTGGCAGGGCCCCAGGTCAGGCTAGCAGGACCGCCCGCCACCTCCCCCCATCAGATCACCGTCCCTGCCTGACCAGACTCTCCAGCCCCGAATGATGTCCACCGGCCCTGGGCCTGTCCTCCCAGAGCCCTTCCCCGAGGTCCCCACCCTCCCACCCCACTGCTCTGTGGAGCCGGGCTTGTCCCTGGGGCGTGGTGTGGCACCGGCCTCGGGGCCCGTGGACGGAGCCGTGAGATACTCTCTTTAACATGCCTCCTTTCTCCCCTGCAGCAAGACGGGACCAGCAAGGAGTGTGTGTTCATCGAGAAGGTTTTGGAGAACAACTACACGGCCCTGATGTCGGCCAAGTACTCGGGCTGGTACGTGGGCTTCACCAAGAAGGGCCGCGCCCGCAAGGGTCCCCGGACCCGCGAGAACCAGCAGGACGTGCACTTCATGAAGCGCCACCCCCGGGGCCAGCTGGAGCCGCAGAAGCCCTTCAAGTACACCACGGTGACCAAGCGGACCCGGCGGGTGCGCCCCACGCACCCCGGCTAGGCCGCCTCGGCCCCACGCCACCCGCGCCGCCCACTCCCGGAGAACTGCAGCAGGGGGATATTTTTACACGAGAAAACAAGGAAGAAGCTCTATTTTTGTACATTGTGTTTAAAAGAAGAGACTGAGCCAAAACTTGAGGGGCGGGGGGGGGGGGGCACGATAAGGATCTCACCTCCGAGCAGGTGAAGCCAGACGCAGGACGAGGGCCGGGAGACCCGTGGGGCCCGGGGCCGCCTCTCCTGGAGGAGGCAGCCCGCGGTCCCCACTCGGGACTTGGCAGACCTAAGTCCTTTCCCCCAAAGGTTCTGAAAGCAAAGGAACAACGGGAAAACAGATCGGAAAGAGAGGGTGGTGCCCCCCCCCCCCACGAGGCCACCCCGCCCTCCCGGTCCACACCTCTCGCCCCAGACGCCAACAAAAATCGCTCTCCGGTTTGCAGCTGTTTATTTATTGTCCGCTGCAAGCTGACCCGAGACACCGCGCAGGAAAGGGGCATCCCGGAACTCTCCGCGCCTCGACCTTCGACGACAGACGGACACCCGCGTCCAGTCATGGTGACCGCGCTGCAGTGGTCCTGAGGTCCGCTCCGGCCCCTCGGCGACTCCAGGGATGAGGGAATCCTTTAAAACCAGCTATGTTATATATATTATATATATGAGCTATTTATTTCACCTCTCTGTATATTGCAGTTTCATGAACCAAGTATTACTGCCTCAACCATTAAAAACAACAGACAGATTATTTAAAAACAAAGCCGGAGGCAAGCGGTGGCTGGAGCAACTTCTTTATGTCTGCTGCGCCTTGGTCTGTGGCCACTGCTCTCAGGACTGGAACTGGCTCACTTGTTGATGGATTGGTTCATGTGTGCACATCTGTTCCTTAGTTCACATCTCCATGTACCTCCATCCTTTCCTTCGCGTCTTCGTCTGTTTCTTTGCCTCCTTCCTTCATCCCCTCATCCAGCCAACAACCCAATCACCCATTCACGTGCCTTCATTCGAACCTTTATCCATCCATCCACCTCTTACATCCCTTCCTGCATGCATTTACCCACCTGTCCCTTGACTCACCCAGCATTTCCTGCGCTCCAGGCATGCGTCCACCTTAGTAAGATAAAAACCTTGGCTTCAGAGATTTCATTTACTATGTGGCTGGTTCAGGGCCGACTCACTCACTCACATGTATGCAGCCAGCACCTCTTTGTGCCAAGTTTCTATGTCCAGGCCCCTTCTAGTGGTTCATTTTTCTTCTGATTCCTTGCATTGTTCACTGACTTACTGATGGGTCCATTCATTCAACCTGGTTTTACTGAGCACCTCTAAGAGCTAGATATTCTTCTGGGGACAGGTGGTCCATTGAAGAACAAGATACCCAGAGCTGTCCTAACTCATGGAGGTTGTAGGGTAGGGCTTGGTTGAGTCTTTGCTCTATTTTGCCAAACACAGGCTGGACAGGGAAATAGGGTGGGGTTTCCAGGTCAGTTTGATATCTGGAATTTCCTTTATCATCCATCCATCCGTCCATCCGTCTGTCTGTCTTTCCCTGTGCTTCTGGATCTAAAGAAGTGGAGGGTAGAGAGGACGCTGGTCTTGGGCCCCGGCCACCTGCTCCTGCCTTCTCCTGGAGGGAGTGGAGACAGACCCGCCCCAGCGCGGGGACAGAGCCAGGCGGGGTGGGGGGGCCCTGGCGGGGGAAGGCACGGGGAAGACACGTGTAGCCAGAGCGGGAGCTCCCGGTCTGCCTGTGGGGCCCGCTGGACTTGCGCCAGGCCAAGCTGGGGTGCCCGGGGCCTGAAAGTCCTGTAAACGCGCAGAGCCTTCTCTCCCTGGCCGGGACGGGGCTCACAGGAAGCAATGGTGAATGACGTGCTAGAGATGGGGTGCAGCGCCCCAGCCGCCCAATTAGCCGGTGGGTCTGCTGCAGACATTAGACCAAGCTGGGGACCGGATGGCGGCCCGGCGCAGCCCGGGTCCCGGCCTGCCTGGCTTCCTGGCTGAGTCTTCCAGCACCGACGGGCCGGGAGGCGGGAGGTGGCCGGCCTGCGGCCCCCCGTGGAGCGGACGGGCCATTAACCAGGCCTTCCCCCACCTCCCAGCAGCTCGCGGGCCCAATTAGCACTTGCTGGAGTTCCTGTCCGGCCCCACTGGGCAGGCAGCTCCCCAGCCCCGTGCAGGCTGACGGGCCGCAGCTGCAGGCCTCGGTCACCCTGGAGCCCGTCCCAAGCGCTGGGTGCTCTCTGAAGACCGCCACTGACCTGTGTCCCTGGTCCACCCCTGGTGTGGCCGCTGTCCCCTGCCTGTCATTTAATTCCTACTCACTGTCCTCTGGCATTTCTTGTTTTTCATCTGCTTCCTACCCACGGAGAAACTGAGTCTGGGAAGGGAGTCCCTCATTCAAAATAGTTGGTCAGACCTCCAAACCCTGCGTGTGACCATGACACCCCCCACCCCAAGAAACCGGTGGGAAATCAGAGAAGCCAAGAGCCTTGCTCAGAGACACACAGTCGGGACGTGGTAGCGCAATGTCCTCGCCTCTCCTCTCCTCCACCCTGCCTGATACACTCAGGGCTCTTCAGGCTGTGGAGAGACACGGAAGTGGACTTCGACGTGGACATGCGTTAGCATGTGTGCACTGGTGTCGGTCGGGCTTCGGGCAGAGCTGGAGCTGGGCCATGTTTTCTTTCCCTGCTCTCTCCTCTGATTGGTTTCTTTCTCAGGAGGGCAGATTTATATCCTGCTGGATTAATACTTTAGAGGATGTTTATTCTCCCTTTTTGGGGAGTGTAGCACTAGGGCTTGAACTCAGGATCTTTTTTTTTTTGGATCCGGTCGTGGGGCCTGAACTTTGGGCCTGGGCGCTGTCCCTCAGCTCTGAAGCTCAAGGCTAGCGCTCTACCACTTGAGCCACAGCGCCACTTCCGGCTTTTTTCTTTTTGCTTATGTGGTGCTGAGGAATCAAACCCAGGGCCTCAGGCATGCAAGGCAAGCGCTCTACCACTGAGCCACCTTCCCAGCCCGTGAACTCAGGATCTTATGCTCTTGCTTGGCTTTCTGCTCAAGACCGGTGGCCTACCATTTGATCCATAACTCCACATTGCTGGTTGACTTGGACTTTTCTGCCTGAGCTGGTTTTGAGCCAAGATCCTCAGATCTCAAGTCTCCTGACTAGCTAGATTACAGGTGTGAGACACCCTTGAATACGTCTCTGACCAGGGAGGTCAAATAGTTTAGCTGACCAGCTGTAGGTCATGGCTAGTCCCTGGAGCTGGGCTAGGGGAGGAGTAAGCCCGATGTGTGCCCAGAGCGGCCACGGAGGGAGGCGGAGCAGCCCAGGGGCCCGCCAGGTGCTCCTCATCTCCAGGAGAGATGCCTCTAGGCCCCACCCACCGCTCAGCGTCTCGGGGCCTGGGGCAGGCCTGAAGCTCGAATTCCAACAGCTTCCCAGGTTACCACCACTGCCCATCCGAGGGCCAGACTTTGAGGACCACTTGTCTCCCGTTTGCTCTTCATCTCAAGCTCAATCCTCCTTCTGTGACCCGGGCTACAGGATCCTGTGTTCAAATCACAGCTCTCAACTCCGAACACGTGCGCCTCAGGAGATGGTGGCTTTCCAGAGCTGGGCAGGTACTGCCATTTCCTGGGTTTCACGCTCAGGTGCCCAGGTGGGCTGGTCCAGCCCTGGTCTCTGGGCCGCAGTCCCTGCCCCCGCACCCCCCTCCGCTCCTCTCTCCCTCCCACCTCAGAACCCTGTGTTCCCAGCATGCCTTGCCTCGTGCTGCAGACAGCTCCAGATTACAGAATAGTACCCACGGTGCTGTGTGTCCCCGGTGGGGACACGCTGGTCTCTGTCCTAGGAAGGGAAAAACGCGAATCCTGTCTTGGTAGAAGTGAGGTCATGTTGGATTCAGGTGTGCAGGAAGTCAGATGGTAGGAATATCGCCAATTTTCCTTCAATTATCTTGCTTCTTTTGTATTTGGAGAAATATTGCTCTGGGATACATTCACGCCGGTGGACGGTCTAGTAGTACCAAGCAAAATTTGGTAGGAGTAACTCATTTTGTCCTGGGGACACCAAATCATGGCTAATTTCATGTCTTACCTATTCGTTTATCTGTTCTCTTACCAATGCATCATCCATCCATCCATGCCTCTGCCCACCTGTCCGTCTGTCCTTCTGTCCATGCATCTGTCCCTCCGTCCATGCATCTATGCATCTATGCATCCATGCATTTGTCCGCCCGTCGATCCGTCTGTGCACTTGTCTGTCTTTCCGTCTGTTCATCCATTTGTGTTGGAAGGCTGGTCTTTGGCGGTGGCCGTGTCCATTTGTGTTGGAAGGCTGGTCTTTGGCGGTGGCCGTGTTATGGGGACTTGGTGTCTCTGCTCCCCCCGGCACGATCCCTTCCCTTTCAGGTGCGCCACTGTTTTCCAGCTGGCTCGGCCTGTTCACCATCCCCACTCCCAGCCTGGCTTCCAAGCCTGGGGTCCTGCCCTTGAACAGCCGAACTTCCGGGGCGGAAGGACAGACTTACTCCCAGAGCTCCAGATGCTCAGGCAGCGTGGAGACCTCCAGGACGGGGTCGGTCACACAAGTTGCTTCACCCCTCCTATAGCTCTCAGTACTTCCAGCCAGGCTGGGGAGGGGCCCCGGGAGGGGGGCTGTGGTCAGCCAGGAGGGGCGGGAGCAGGCTGGGGGGGGCAGGGGGCTGGGGGGGCTGTGGTCAGCCAGGAGGGGCGGGAGCAGGCTGGGGGGGGCAGGGGGCTGGGGGGGCTGTGGTCAGCCAGGAGGGGCGGGAGCAGGCTGGGGGGGGCAGGGGGCTGGGGGGGCTGTGGTCAGCCAGGAGGGGCGGGAGCAGGCTGGGGGGGGCAGGGGGCTGGGGGGGGCTGTGGTCAGCCAGGAGGGGCGGGAGCAGGCTGGGGGGGGCAGGGAGCTGGGGGGGCTGTGGTCAGCCAGGAGGGGCGGGAGCAGGCTGGGGGGGCAGGGGGCTGGGGGGGGGCTGTGGTCAGCCAGGAGGGGCAGGAGCAGGCTGGGGGGGGGCAGGGGGCTGGGGGGGGCTTCCATTAGGAATGAAGCCTGGCTTGCCGGTGGAGGAGAGGAGCCATGAGCTCATTCAGAAGTCTGGAACCGCTTTTATTTCCTGGAGATCTTAATCTGCAGTCACCTCTGACCCGAGCCCTGAGGCGATTAGAACCCTGCCAGTGGTGGGTTTTGAACTTCCCGGGGAGCTACTTCCTTTGTATTCAGTGCTGGGTAATCCGGATAAAAGGCTTCACTTAAGCAAATAGACGATTACAGCCCACAATAGACCAGATCCTGCAGCACTGGGGTTGAGACTGAAGTCTGCTTTCACGACTGCCTCTCCCTAATTCCCCTTACACACACACTACCCCCCCCCCCCAGCTGCGTCTGGGGGCCCAGGGAAGGATTCCCGCCCCTCCGAACAACCCAGGGCTGGTGGGTCGGGCGCAGCAGAGCAGGATTTTAGGTGACCTCTGGGGCTCACCGTCCAGCATTTGTCTGGGACACGCGAGGTTCTGGGAAAGTGGACCTGGCGCCACAAGTGTGCGGTGATCCAGTGTGTGAGAGAAGGCGCCGGAAGGCTGGCGTGGCGGCAATCGCCTGTCACCCTACCTGCCCCAGATTCACAAGCTGGGGACCACGGGGAAAGGCCAGACTGGCCGAGAAGTTTCTGAGGCAGGTAGGATCTGAGAACAGCATGAAGGAACTCCATCTACCTACCTGCCTATCATCTATCTACCTCTACCTACCTATTCTTTCTTTTCATCTATCTATCTATCTATCCATCCATCCATCATCCATCTATCCATCCATCTATCTATCCATCCATCATCCATCCATCCATCTATCTATCTATCTATCCATCCATCTATCTATCTATCTATCTATCTATCTATCTATCTATCTATCTATCTATCTATCTATCTATCTGTCTGTCTGTCTATCTGTCCATCCATCCATCCATCCATCATCCATCTATCCATCCATCCATCTATCTATCCATCCATCTATCCATCCATCATCCATCTATCTATCTATCTATCCATCCATCCATCCATCATCCATCTATCCATCCATCATCCATCTATATATCCATCCATCCACCCATCCATCCATCCTCTGTCCTCTAGCAGCGTAGCTCTCATCTATCTCCTTTACCTCCTATTTAATTACCTATTATCTATCAACCATCTTCTGATCACCTACTTACCTATCTACTTCCCAGCCCTCACCTCTGTGGTGTTTGAGTTGCTGGTCACTGGTTCTGTTCCTCTGTGGTGTTTGAGTTGCTGGTCGCTGGTTCTGTTCCTCTGTGGTGTTTGAGTTGCTGGTCGCTGGTTCTGTTCCTCTGTGGTGTTTGAGTTGCTGGCAGTTGCTGGTTCTGTTGCTCTGTGGTGTTTGAGTTGCTGGTCACTGGTTCTGTTCCTCTGTGGTGTTTGAGTTGCTGGTCACTGGTTCTGTTGCTCTGTGGTGTTTGAGTTGCTGGTTGCTGGTTCTGTTCCTCTGTGGTGTTTGAGTTGCTGGTTGCTGGTTCTGTTGCTCTGTGGTGTTTGAGTTGCTGGCAGTGGCTGGTTCTGTTGCTCTGTGGTGTTTGAGTTGCTGGTCGCTGGTTCTGTTCCTCTGTGGTGTTTGAGTTGCTGGTCGCTGGTTCTGTTCCTCTGTGGTGTTTGAGTTGCTGGTCACTGGTTCTGTTGCTCTGTGGTGTTTGAGTTGCTGGTTGCTGGTTCTGTTCCTCTGTGGTGTTTGAGTTGCTGGCAGTTGCTGGTTCTGTTGCTCTGTGGTGTTTGAGTTGCTGGTTGCTGGTTCTGTTGCTCTGTGGTGTTTGAGTTGCTGGCAGTGGCTGGTTCTGTTGCTCTGTGGTGTTTGAGTTGCTGGCAGTTGCTGGTTCTGTTCCTCTGTGGTGTTTGAGTTGCTGGCAGTTGCTGGTTCTGTTGCTCTGTGGTGTTTGAGTTGCTGGTTGCTGGTTCTGTTGCTCTGTGGTGTTTGAGTTGCTGGCAGTGGCTGGTTCTGTTCCTCTGTGGTGTTTGAGTTGCTGGCAGTTGCTGGTTCTGTTGCTCTGTGGTGTTTGAGTTGCTGGCAGTTGCTGGTTCTGTTGCTCTGTGGTGCTTGAGTTGCTGGCAGTTGCTGGTTCTCTGTTCCTCTGTGGTGTTTGAGTTGCTGGCAGTTGCTGGTTCTGTTGCTCTGTGGTGTTTGAGTTGCTGGTTGCTGGTTCTGTTGCTCTGTGGTGTTTGAGTTGCTGGCAGTTGCTGGTTCTGTTGCTCTGTGGTGTTTGAGTTGCTGGTCGCTGGTTCTGTTGCTCTGTGGTGTTTGAGTTGCTGGCAGTTGCTGGTTCTGTTGCTCTGTGGTGTTTGAGTTGCTGGCAGTTGCTGGTTCTGTTGCTCTGTGGTGCTTGAGTTGCTGGCAGTTGCTGGTTCTCTGTTCCTCTGTGGTGTTTGAGTTGCTGGCAGTTGCTGGTTCTGTTGCTCTGTGGTGTTTGAGTTGCTGGTTGCTGGTTCTGTTCCTCTGTGGTGTTTGAGTTGCTGGCAGTGGCTGGTTCTGTTGCTCTGTGGTGTTTGAGTTGCTGGCAGTTGCTGGTTCTGTTGCTCTGTGGTGTTTGTGTTGCTGGTCGCTGGTTCTGTTCCTCTGTGGTGTTTGAGTTGCTGGCAGTCGCTGGTTCTGTTGCTCTGTGGTGTTTGAGTTGCTGGCAGTTGCTGGTTCTGTTGCTCTGTGGTGTTTGAGTTGCTGGTTGCTGGTTCTGTTGCTCTGTGGTGTTTGAGTTGCTGGTCACTGGTTCTGTTGCTCTGTGGTGTTTGAGTTGCTGGCAGTTGCTGGTTCTGTTGCTCTGTGGTGTTTGAGTTGCTGGTTGCTGGTTCTGTTGCTCTGTGGTGTTTGAGTTGCTGGTCACTGGTTCTGTTGCTCTGTGGTGTTTGAGTTGCTGGTGTCGCTGGTTCTGTTGCTCTGTGGTGTTTGAGTTGCTGGCAGTTGCTGGTTCTGTTGCTCTGTGGTGTTTGAGTTGCTGGCAGTTGCTGGTTCTGTTGCTCTGTGGTGTTTGAGTTGCTGGTCGCTGGTTCTGTTCCTCTGTGGTGTTTGAGTTGCTGGCAGTTGCTGGTTCTGTTGCTCTGTGGTGTTTGAGTTGCTGGTTGCTGGTTCTGTTGCTCTGTGGTGTTTGAGTTGCTGGTCGCTGGTTCTGTTCCTCTGTGGTGTTTGAGTTGCTGGTCGCTGGTTCTGTTGCTCTGTGGTGTTTGAGTTGCTGGTTGCTGGTTCTGTTCCTCTGTGGTGTTTGAGTTGCTGGTTGCTGGTTCTGTTCCTCTGTGGTGTTTGAGTTGCTGGTTGCTGGTTCTGTTGCTCTGTGGTGTTTGAGTTGCTGGTTGCTGGTTCTGTTGCTCTGTGGTGTTTGAGTTGCTGGTCGCTGGTTCTGTTCCTCTGTGGTGCTTGAGTTGCTGGTGTTGCTGGTTCTGTTCCTCTGTGGTGTTTGAGTTGCTGGCAGTTGCTGGTTCTGTTGCTCTGTGGTGTTTGAGTTGCTGGTCGCTGGTTCTGTTGCTCTGTGGTGTTTGAGTTGCTGGTTGCTGGTTCTGTTGCTCTGTGGTGTTTGAGTTGCTGGCAGTGGCTGGTTCTGTTGCTCTGTGGTGTTTGAGTTGCTGGCAGTGGCTGGTTCTGTTGCTCTGTGGTGTTTGAGTTGCTGGCAGTGGCTGGTTCTGTTGCTCTGTGGTGTTTGAGTTGCTGGTTGCTGGTTCTGTTGCTCTGTGGTGTTTGAGTTGCTGGTTGCTGGTTCTGTTGCTCTGTGGTGTTTGAGTTGCTGGCAGTTGCTGGTTCTGTTGCTCTGTGGTGTTTGAGTTGCTGGTTGCTGGTTCTGTTGCTCTGTGGTGTTTGAGTTGCTGGCAGTCGCTGGTTCTGTTGCTCTGTGGTGTTTGAGTTGCTGGCAGTGGCTGGTTCTGTTGCTCTGTGGTGTTTGAGTTGCTGGTTGCTGGTTCTGTTGCTCTGTGGTGTTTGAGTTGCTGGCAGTGGCTGGTTCTGTTGCTCTGTGGTGTTTGAGTTGCTGGCAGTCGCTGGTTCTGTTCCTCTGTGGTGTTTGAGTTGCTGGTTGCTGGTTCTGTTGCTCTGTGGTGTTTGAGTTGCTGGTTGCTGGTTCTGTTGCTCTGTGGTGTTTGAGTTGCTGGCAGTTGCTGGTTCTGTTGCTCTGTGGTGTTTGAGTTGCTGGCAGTTGCTGGTTCTGTTGCTCTGTGGTGTTTGAGTTGCTGGTGTTGCTGGTTCTGTTGCTCTGTGGTGTTTGAGTTGCTGGTCGCTGGTTCTGTTCCTCTGTGGTGTTTGAGTTGCTGGTTGCTGGTTCTGTTCCTCTGTGGTGTTTGAGTTGCTGGTCGCTGGTTCTGTTGCTCTGTGGTGTTTGAGTTGCTGGTTGCTGGTTCTGTTGCTCTGTGGTGTTTGAGTTGCTGGCAGTGGCTGGTTCTGTTCCTCTGTGGTGTTTGAGTTGCTGGTCGCTGGTTCTGTTGCTCTGTGGTGTTTGAGTTGCTGGCAGTTGCTGGTTCTGTTGCTCTGTGGTGTTTGAGTTGCTGGCAGTGGCTGGTTCTGTTCCTCTGTGGTGTTTGAGTTGCTGGTCGCTGGTTCTGTTGCTCTGTGGTGTTTGAGTTGCTGGCAGTTGCTGGTTCTGTTGCTCTGTGGTGTTTGAGTTGCTGGCAGTTGCTGGTTCTGTTGCTCTGTGGTGTTTGAGTTGCTGGTTGCTGGTTCTGTTCCTCTGTGGTGTTTGAGTTGCTGGTCGCTGGTTCTGTTGCTCTGTGGTGTTTGAGTTGCTGGTCGCTGGTTCTGTTCCTCTGTGGTGTTTGAGTTGCTGGCAGTGGCTGGTTCTGTTGCTCTGTGGTGTTTGAGTTGCTGGCAGTTGCTGGTTCTGTTGCTCTGTGGTGTTTGAGTTGCTGGTCGCTGGTTCTGTTCCTCTGTGGTGTTTGAGTTGCTGGTCGCTGGTTCTGTTCCTCTGTGGTGTTTGAGTTGCTGGTCGCTGGTTCTGTTCCTCTGTGGTGTTTGAGTTGCTGGCAGTGGCTGGTTCTGTTCCTCTGTGGTGTTTGAGTTGCTGGTCGCTGGTTCTGTTGCTCTGTGGTGTTTGAGTTGCTGGCAGTTGCTGGTTCTGTTGCTCTGTGGTGTTTGAGTTGCTGGCAGTGGCTGGTTCTGTTCCTCTGTGGTGTTTGAGTTGCTGGTCGCTGGTTCTGTTGCTCTGTGGTGTTTGAGTTGCTGGCAGTTGCTGGTTCTGTTGCTCTGTGGTGTTTGAGTTGCTGGCAGTTGCTGGTTCTGTTCCTCTGTGGTGTTTGAGTTGCTGGCAGTTGCTGGTTCTGTTGCTCTGTGGTGTTTGAGTTGCTGGTCGCTGGTTCTGTTCCTCTGTGGTGTTTGAGTTGCTGGTCGCTGGTTCTGTTGCTCTGTGGTGTTTGAGTTGCTGGTCGCTGGTTCTGTTCCTCTGTGGTGTTTGAGTTGCTGGCAGTGGCTGGTTCTGTTGCTCTGTGGTGTTTGAGTTGCTGGCAGTTGCTGGTTCTGTTGCTCTGTGGTGTTTGAGTTGCTGGTCGCTGGTTCTGTTCCTCTGTGGTGTTTGAGTTGCTGGTCGCTGGTTCTGTTCCTCTGTGGTGTTTGAGTTGCTGGTCGCTGGTTCTGTTCCTCTGTGGTGTTTGAGTTGCTGGCAGTGGCTGGTTCTGTTCCTCTGTGGTGTTTGAGTTGCTGGCAGTTGCTGGTTCTGTTGCTCTGTGGTGTTTGAGTTGCTGGCAGTTGCTGGTTCTGTTGCTCTGTGGTGTTTGAGTTGCTGGCAGTTGCTGGTTCTGTTGCTCTGTGGTGTTTGAGTTGCTGGCAGTTGCTGGTTCTGTTGCTCTGTGGTGTTTGAGTTGCTGGTCGCTGGTTCTGTTCCTCTATGGTGTTTGAGTTGCTGGCTGCCGCTGGTTCTCTGTTCCTCTGTGGTGTTTGAGTTGCTGGCTGCCGCTGGTTGTCTGCTCTTCCTCTGATTTGGCATTCAGTTTTTGTTTGGTTTATGGACTACTTGGCACATTCAATGGAGTTCTATTGCTAATGACTAAAGCGTCCAGACTCCGTGCAGAAAGTGTGGGCCTGTCGTAGGCCGGGTATTGGGGGATGCAGGGCTGGTGAGGCTGCTGATCACCCGCGTTGCAGGAGATGCCGTGCAGAGATGCACTCTCTGACTCTTCCTTTGGCCTCCGTCAGCACAAGTTGTGTTTTGCCACATACAGATGGAAAAGTCACCAAATTACAAACCCAGATGCAAGCTATCTTTGGTGGAGTTGTGTGTGTGTGTGTGTGTGAGTATGGGGTTGTGTATGTGTGTTCAGTGGAGTGGTGTGTGTGTGTATGGGGTTGTGTATGTGTGTTCAGTGGAGTTGTGTGTGTGTGTATGGGGTTGTGTATGTGTGTTCGTGGAGTTGTGTGTGTGTGTATGGGGTTGTGTATGTGTGTTCGTGGAGTTGTGTGTGTGTGTGTATGGGGTTGTGTATGTGTGTTCGTGGAATTGTGTGTGTGTGTATGGGGTTGTGTATGTATGTTTAGTGGAGTTGTGTGTGTGTGTGTGTGTATGGGTTGTGTATGTGTATTCAGTGGAGTGGTATGTGTGTGTATGGGGTTGTGTGTGTGTGTTCAGTGGAGTTGTGTGTGTGTGTGTGTATGGGGTTGTGTATGTATGTTTAGTGGAGTGGTGTGTGTGTGTATGGGGTTGTGTATGTGTGTTCGTGGAGTTGTGTGTGTGTATGGGATTGTGTATGTGTGTTCAGTGGAGTTGTATGTGTGTGTATGGGGTTGTGTGTGTGTGTATAGGGTTGTGTATGTGTGTTCGTGGAATTGTGTGTGTGTGTAGTGGGGTTGTGTATGTGTGTACAGTGGAGTTGTGTGTGTGTGTGCACATGAAGAATCTTGGCCACCGCCTCTGTATCAGCTGTCAGCAGATCAGAGGCGCCATCCACGATTGTCATAATTCATTACGTTAATTAACCATGTTGAAGAAGTGGGCGTTGGCAGTGGGGATGGGCGTGGGGCTGGGGAAGGGCCTCCCGGCAGCCACCACGTTGTTGTGTCTCAGCCTCCGGGGTCAGAGCTCCCACGGTTTGATGGCTGCCACGGCCGGCGCACGGCCTCCTAACCGGGATCTCCATGCGGCCGTCATGTTTACGTCTCTGCAATTCTGTGCAGATGAAGCCTGGGGCAGGAAGCAGAGGCCAACAGCACTCCAGAACTTGGCTCTGGACGTTCCACTCTGTACCCAAAGGGGATAAGCACCCCGATGTCGGATACAAACCGGTGGTGTCTCTCCCGGGCCGCCTCCGGGCTGGCCGTCTGGCCTGGCCTGCTGTAGGACAAGTGGTACCACCACGGCCCTGGTTCCGCGGGAGACCGGTGGGGCCACACCTCCTCCGTGGTGCTGCTCAGCGCTGGGTGCTTGTCTGGCCAGCCTTGCCGAGTCTCCGTGCCCTCCGCTTCTCTCCGTGAGTGCTTCTTACATCCGAGCCTGGGCCCCATCCCCTCCGCCACCGGCACGCCCGACCCCCCCTCCCCTCCCCTCTCCTCTCCTCTCTCCCTGCGTTGTCCTCTGTCTGTCCTGCAGCCTGCGGGGAGTTTTCTGAGATGTGGCCGGTGGCGGTGGGCGCTCAGTCCCTCGCTTCCCCACTGCCTTGGGGGTTCTGGGATGATTACGAGGTCCTGCTGGGCCCGGGCCTGCCGATCGCCAGTTCATTTCCAAACCTTGCTTTACAGCCCCACACGGCTTCTTCCACCACATTCCTTGGCTTGCGCTGGCTTCTGTTGCATACCACCAGAGACTTGGATTCCCAAGTCATCGAAGCTTCTATTTGTGCTGCATAAAGGGCAGCGTGGTTTATTTTTCATAAAGCATGCCTTAGGTTGTTAGCGTGTGCTAGGCCCCCGACAGGTACACAGACTAGAAACCAGAGCCTTGGTCACACCAGTGAAGCGCTAGGTCAAATCTCACCTGCACACATCGGCCAAAGATTTTCCAATGACTGCCGTCAACAGATTTTCGTTTGGCTTGAATTACGTTTCCGGAGACTTCCAGCTTCACAAAGCCACTGCTTCACAAACTGTTTCTGGACAAAGAGGGTACCTGCCTCATCCTGGCCCGGTATTCTGCTATTCGTCAACAACTCTACTACCAACTTCTTTCCACCCTGGCAGTGAGATGATACTCTGTACAGTTTACAGAGCACCCTCATCTATTACCTCACTTCAATCTGCCGATAATCCCGACATAGCCAGCAGCTCCATGGAGAGTCTCCGAGAGCGCTCCGGCTGGCCCCAGGTCAGGGGCAAGGGAGGGCACACTGTTTGGAGCCCCATCTCCTGGCCAGGAACAGTGCTTCTCACCCACAATTCCGGTCACACAGGAGGCGGAGGTCTGAGACTCCTCCGAGGAGACCCGTGGCCTCTTCTGCCTCCAGGCCTGTCCTAAAAACTGTGGTGCAGGGACCCAGAATTCCCCAAGGCTGGCCCTGGGCTGCTAACCGTGGAGGAGCAGCAGGCCTGCCCGGCTAGGGGTGCGCGGACTAGGAAGCGTGGGATGGGGCTCTGGGTGGCCCCGAGGCGTTGACAGACGGGAGGACTCTCCTGCTCAGCGTCGGGACGCAGCGGCCTCTGTGGGGCTCCTCTCCAGCCTTCCCTGCCCGGCCTCCTCCAGCCTCCCACCCGCCGCACTTGGAGAGCCTCTGGCCTGCCCTGTCTTGGCCAGGGCCTCCTTGGAGGGTGTTTCTCTTGGATGAAAGGTCCTCCTTCCCTTCGTCCCCTCCACGAGAGGTTCCATGTATTTTCTTTTACTCGATTAAGCAAACAAAGGCCAGGGCCACTTGAAGGCTGAACTTGCCTGTCCTGGCTTCTCAGCCCCGGCCCGCAGCCCCTGCAGGAGCCCGACATCACGGAGGGGCCGCGAGGCCCCGGCCGGCAGGGCCACCACGCTGGCCAGGGCGGCACAGCTTGGCCTCGGTCCCTGCTTCCTGACCTCATCCCTCTTCTCCAGGCACGTTGATTCCAGGGGTGACAGCGCAGGGACTGGAGCGGTGGTCCCTGGGGTCTGGGGCCAACGTGCCCGTGCTTTCTGCAGGGGGCGACGCTGTGGTGCTGTGGCTCTGCACGTCCTCTGCTGGGCAGGGACAGACGCGGGAGGAGACCGGGCCGAGGGGCGGCCCCAGAGGCGTCCAGCGTGCCTGGGGTGGGGGCAGAGCCACGGAGGGGTGAGGGAGGCGGGGCCCTCCCCTGGCAGCCGTCCCGGGGGAAGGCCCTCTATGGTGCGTAGTGAGGACCACCCCTGCCCTTTGAGGCGGTGAGCTAGTGTCCCTGGCTTCAGGCCACGGAGGGGCAGGTGGTGCAGCTGGAACCTTCCCTAGGTGGGGTCTGGCTATGTCGCTTAAGCTGGCCTGAAACTTGAGACTCTCCTGCCTCAGTCTCTTGGGTGCTGGGATTACAGTATACGCCAACACACTGAGCCGGGTTCAATTAGCCTGGTTTACTTGCAGTGCTAGAGATCAAACACAGGGCCTGGCCTAGTGGACAGGTATGCAGCCCAAACCTAAACCTTCCCAAGTTGAGGTTCTAAGCACACCGGCAGGGCACAGGGGTGGTGTGCAGCACACAGGTGCAGGGGTGGTGTGCAGCACACAGGTGCAGGGGTGGTGTGCAGCACACAGGTGCAGGGGTGGTGTGCAGCACACAGGTGCAGGGGTGGTGTGCAGCACACAGGTGCAGGGGTGGTGTGCAGCACACAGGTGCAGGGGTGGTGTGCAGCATGCAGGTGCAGGGGTGGTGTGCAGCACACAGGTGCAGGGGTGGTGTGCAGCAGCACACAGGTGCAGGGGTGGTGTGCAGCACACAGGTGCAGGGGTGGTGTGCAGCACGCAGGTGCAGGGGTGGTGTGCAGCACACAGGTGCAGGGGTGGTGTGCAGCACACAGGTGCAGGGGTGGTGTGCAGCACACAGGTGCAGGGGTGGTGTGCAGCACACAGGTGCAGGGGTGGTGTGCAGCACGCAGGTGCAGGGGTGGTGTGCAGCAGCACACAGGTGCAGGGGTGGTGTGCAGCATGCAGGTGCAGGGGTGGTGTGCAGCACACAGGTGCAGGGGTGGTGTGCAGCACACAGGTGCAGGGGTGGTGTGCAGCACACAGGTGCAGGGGTGGTGTGCAGCAGCACACAGGTGCAGGGGTGGTGTGCAGCACACAGGTGCAGGGGTGGTGTGCAGCACGCAGGTGCAGGGGTGGTGTGCAGCACGCAGGTGCAGGGGTGGTGTGCAGCACACAGGTGCAGGGGTGGTGTGCAGCAGCACACAGGTGCAGGGGTGGTGTGCAGCAGCACACAGGTGCAGGGGTGGTGTGCAGCACACAGGTGCAGGGGTGGTGTGCAGCACACAGGTGCAGGGGTGGTGTGCAGCAGCACACAGGTGCAGGGGTGGTGTGCAGCACACAGGTGCAGGGGTGGTGTGCAGCACGCAGGTGCAGGGGTGGTGTGCAGCAGCACACAGGTGCAGGGGTGGTGTGCAGCACGCAGGTGCAGGGGTGGTTCACAGCAGCACACAGGTGCAGGGGTGGTGTGCAGCACACAGGTGCAGGGGTGGTGTGCAGCACGCAGGTGCAGGGGTGGTGTGCAGCAGCGCACAGGTGCAGGGGTGGTGTGCAGCACGCAGGTGCAGGGGTGGTGTGCAGCACACAGGTGCAGGGGTGGTGTGCAGCACGCAGGTGCAGGGGTGGTGTGCAGCACGCAGGTGCAGGGGTGGTGTGCAGCACACAGGTGCAGGGGTGGTGTGCAGCAGCACGCAGGTGCAGGGGTGGTGTGCAGCACGCAGGTGCAGGGGTGGTGTGCAGCACACAGGTGCAGGGGTGGTTCACAGCAGCACACAGGTGCAGGGGTGGTGTGCAGCACGCAGGTGCAGGGGTGGTGTGCAGCAGCACACAGGTGCAGGGGTGGTGTGCAGCAGCACACAGGTGCAGGGGTGGTGTGCAGCACGCAGGTGCAGGGGTGGTGTGCAGCACACAGGTGCAGGGGTGGTTCACAGCAGCACACAGGTGCAGGGGTGGTGTGCAGCAGCACACAGGTGCAGGGGTGGTGTGCAGCACGCAGGTGCAGGGGTGGTTCACAGCAGCACACAGGTGCAGGGGTGGTGTGCAGCACACAGGTGCAGGGGTGGTGTGCAGCACGCAGGTGCAGGGGTGGTGTGCAGCAGCGCACAGGTGCAGGGGTGGTGTGCAGCACACAGGTGCAGGGGTGGTTCACAGCAGCACACAGGTGCAGGGGTGGTGTGCAGCAGCACGCAGGTGCAGGGGTGGTTCACAGCAGCACACAGGTGCAGGGGTGGTGTGCAGCAGCACGCAGGTGCAGGGGTGGTTCACAGCAGCACACAGGTGCAGGGGTGGTGTGCAGCACGCAGGTGCAGGGGTGGTTCACAGCAGCACGCAGGTGCAGGGGTGGTGTGCAGCAGCACACAGGTGCAGGGGTGGTGTGCAGCACGCAGGTGCAGGGGTGGTGTGCAGCACACAGGTGCAGGGGTGGTGTGCAGCAGCACACAGGTGCAGGGGTGGTGTGCAGGACGCAGGTGCAGGGGTGGTTCACAGCAGCACGCAGGTGCAGGGGTGGTGTGCAGCAGCACACACTTGCAGGGGTGGTGTGCAGCACGCAGGTGCAGGGGTGGTTCACAGCAGCACACAGGTGCAGGGGTGGTGTGCAGCAGCACACAGGTGCAGGGGTGGTGTGCAGCACGCAGGTGCAGGGGTGGTGTGCAGCACGCAGGTGCAGGGGTGGTGTGCAGCAGCGCACAGGTGCAGGGGTGGTGTGCAGCAGCGCACAGGTGCAGGGGTGGTGTGCAGCAGCACGCAGGTGCAGGGGTGGTGTGCAGCACGCAGGTGCAGGGGTGGTGTGCAGCAGCGCACAGGTGCAGGGGTGGTTCACAGCAGCACACAGGTGCAGGGGTGGTGTGCAGCAGCACGCAGGTGCAGGGGTGGTGTGCAGCAGCACGCAGGTGCAGGGGTGGTGTGCAGCACGCAGGTGCAGGGGTGGTTCACAGCAGCACACAGGTGCAGGGGTGGTGTGCAGCACGCAGGTGCAGGGGTGGTGTGCAGCACGCAGGTGCAGGGGTGGTGTGCAGCAGCACACAGGTGCAGGGGTGGTGTGCAGCAGCACGCAGGTGCAGGGGTGGTGTGCAGCACGCAGGTGCAGGGGTGGTGTGCAGCAGCACACAGGTGCAGGGGTGGTGTGCAGCAGCGCAGGTGCAGGGGTGGTGTGCAGCACGCAGGTGCAGGGGTGGTGTGCAGCACGCAGGTGCAGGGGTGGTTCACAGCAGCACGCAGGTGCAGGGGTGGTGTGCAGCACGCAGGTGCAGGGGTGGTGTGCAGCAGCACACAGGTGCAGGGGTGGTGTGCAGCAGCACACAGGTGCAGGGGTGGTGTGCAGCACGCAGGTGCAGGGGTGGTGTGCAGCACGCAGGTGCAGGGGTGGTGTGCAGCAGCACGCAGGTGCAGGGGTGGTGTGCAGCACGCAGGTGCAGGGGTGGTTCACAGCAGCACGCAGGTGCAGGGGTGGTGTGCAGCAGCGCAGGCTGCCAGCCCTGCGCAGGTCGGCGGGGTGGTGCTCTCTGGGTCTGTGGTTCCATCTCATAGGTGGAAGGAGATGGGATCTGGCTGTTCTTGGCAAAGCAGTTCTCCGAGGAGTCTGGCCTGGGCGGGCCGGGCCCGCAGCCTTGTGTGGGGGCAGAGCTGGCTCCTAGGAAGGGGGCTTCCCTCCAGACATCCCTGCCCTCCGCCCCTCACACTGGCTGGCCCAGGTCCAGCCCCGGAGGCCCAGGGCTGGACAGATGGACAGACACTCTCCCCGCTGCCAACTCAGAGTGGGAAGGGCTGGCCCAGCAGTCCAGCGGGGAGTTCCGGCCAGAAACGATCAAGAGCAGATGGGACCATGGGGGCTTCCCCGGGGCCCGGGGCCCGGGCGTGGAGCCCTGGGATGGTGGGCCGCGGGGTTGCTGAGGTCAAGGGGCAGCATGCCAGGATCCTTGCAGCTGCAGCCTGGGGCGCTGGGTGGGAAGGGGCCCCCTCTTTTCTTCTCAAAGGGTCAGGTGAGCTTGGAGGGCCACTCCTGGGCTAGGCTAGGGGATGGGCGATCTGATCTGAGGGCCTTGCACCGGCAGTGGGCCGTTTGGCGCTCCTGTGGACTGCCAGTGTCTGCCCCAACCTGGGACTCCCAGTGACACCAGAGGATCGGAGGACTTGGGGAGGGGCCTCCGGCTCTTCCGGAGCCTTCTCCTGACCAGGGGTCTTTTTGGTCTCCCAGGGTCAGTCTTTATCTGTTCCCAGTGGACCCTGGTAGGGGCCGGATGTCCTGGTCACCCGCCCTTGGTCCTTGTCATTTACGCCCAGCTGCACGGCGCCCCTGATGTCTCTAATGCACTTTTTTTGTTTGCCAGTCGTAGGGCTTCAACTTGGGGCTGGGTGCTGTCCCTCAGCTCTTCAGCTCAAGGCGAGCGCTCTACCACTTGAGCCACAGTGCCACTTCTGGTTTTCTGGTGGTTTATTGGAGATAAGAGTCTCTCTGACTTTCCTGCCTGGGCTGGCTTTGAACCGCCATCCTGAGCTCTCAGCCTCCTGAGTAGCTGGGATGACAGGCGTGAGCCTCTGGCTTTGTGCTGGCTAGGAGTGGTTCCAAAGTCTGCAGCGGCCCCCTCCCACGGCCGGAGCCCCCATCTGCAGGTGTGATGGCTGGAAAAAGGCAGAATGAGCCTCGGCGGAGCCCCTTCGGGGAGCCCCGGCTAGCACGCAGGGCTGGGAAGGGCGGGGCCGGCAGGGAGCTGGCGCTGTCCACAGCCTCAGCCACAGCTGGGGCTGGACGCCCGCTCGGGCCGCCCCTCTCCTGGCCTTGGGGGATTCCCCTGCTCCAAGCTTACCCCTGACCCCCTCCTGGCCAAGGGGTCCCCTTGTGCCCCGGCACCCGGCTCTGCGGGCCCAGGGGCTTCTCTAGGTTTGTTCGAGTGTGGGGGGATGGGGGACCCCTTGAATCCTGACGGGAATGCGGGTCAGCCTCGTCCTGGCTGCGGCCATCCGCAGGTCACCAGAGACCTGTGCCGGTCCAGGCGCTGTCCCCCAGCCTCTCTGAGCCCGGGTGTCTGGGCCGGGCTCCAGCTCTGGGAACTCTGCCTGCTGCTCCTCCCTGCAATCCAGTGAAACATCTCTGCTTCCTTGTAGGCGTAGGGAGGGGGCGCTGGACCGGGGTCCAGCACTGGCTGCTCTGTGACCTTCCTCAGTGGCTCTGTGTGACACGGAGGGGGGCGGAGGGGGCCTCCTGGCCTCTGCCAGCTTCCAGTCCTTTCCACAGGGCGGGGGGGGGGATGCCGGGGGGCGTGCCGAGAGCCTTCTCAGACCCCTCACACCTGTTTCCTAGCTCCGCGTGCGGGGCACTGCCGGCTCCGTCTTGCCTACAGATCCCAGGGCCTGGGCTGTGGGCCTGGGAGCTCCGCTTCCAGTCCCTGGCTTGCTTTGGGAGAGTAGATGACCAGGCAGCAAATGTGGATCTTCATCCTGGGGGTCACATGACCCCCCCCCCCGCCCCGTGAGACCCAGAGCTGGTCCGCGAGTTCACGGGATGAACGAGCCACCGAGACCCCTGCAGGGCCGAGGGTGACAAGGGACAGCGCACAGTAGGACCCCAGTGCTGAGTGCTCCCGGCGGGAGGCGTGGGGGGCGCAGAGCAAGCTCCGCACCACTGCTGAGTGCTCCCGGCGGGAGGCGTGGGGGGCGCAGAGCAAGCTCCGCACCGCTGCTGAGGGCTCCCGGCGGGAGGCGTGGGGGGCGCAGAGCAAGCTCCGCACCGCTGCTGAGGGCTCCCGGCGGGAGGCGTGGGGGGCGCAGAGCAAGCTCCGCACCGCTGCTCTGGCACGTGGCTGTCGGTGCCCAAGGCTGCTCTGCTCTCTCCAGGGGGCTACGTGTGCACTCGCCTGCACTCATGTGCACACACCTGCACACCTCCACACACAGGAGGCTCCGGCCCCGTCTAGTTGGCACATCAGAATCACAAGCTGGCAGGGCCCCGTCTCCTGGGCTCCTGGAGGTGCCCGTGGCAACAGATGCGCCGTGTGAGGATAGCAGCCCTTCTTTTCGGGTCTCCTAGAAACTGAGACTCCTGGGCCGCGGCCTTTACATTGCTTTCTTGTTGATTTGATCCCCGCCGATAGCCGGGTCCCTGGGGCACCTGCAGCGTGCCCAGCACCGTGCTACACCAGGGGAGCATCTGGGGTGGGGAGCCCAGGGCTGGAGCGCGGGGTAAGGGTAAACAGGTGCCGGTGGACCGCATCTGGGTGCTCGTCAGACAGGAGTGGCTCCAGATCAGGCTTGACAGAAAACAGCCAGGAAAACATGGCAGAGTCACACCCCAAAGCGGCGGCTGGCTGGTGTGTGCCGTCTCTCCGACTCTGATGACAGCTGGCCAGGGTGGTGACGCGGAAACATGGTGACACTGGCGGGTGAGCAAGCCGGCCTTGGCTGAGGCCCCTCGGCTCCCCGCACACACCGCCAGGCCAGGGCTCTCGGGGCCCCCAGGGCCCGGGCCATCTGATGGTCCAGGTGGGTCCGGGGCGGCCTTCCCTCCTCTGAGCACTGAGCTGTCAGTTCTTCTTAGGCCTCCCTAGGAGGCCAGGCCCCGGGGCTCAAGAATGGTAGTCCAGGCCCGTGGACCTGAGCTGCCTCGTCCCTGGGTTCAGCGGGGGGGTGTGGCCACCGCCGGGCTGGGGTCCACTGGCCGGGCATGCTGGGGTGCCCAGTCTCCAGAACTAGCAACCTGATGCGAGGCTTGGTCGAGGAGCCTCTGCCTCCCAGCTCTGCCCGAGTGAGCTGCAGCGAGCCAGGAGAGGGGCAGGCGGGAGATGGGGCCTGGACTGCCAGTTCTTCTCTTCCCAGCCTTTCCCTTCTTCCCTTCCTCCCTCCCTCCCTCCCTCCCTCCCTCCCTCCCTCCCTCCCTCCCTCCCTTCCTTCCTTCCTTCCTCCCTCCCTCCCTCCCTCCCTCGCTCCCTCGCTCCCTCCCTCCTTCCCTCCCTCCCTTCCTTCCTTTCTCTCAGCCTCTCTTTCTTCCTTTCTTTTGGTGGTACTGGGGTTTGAATTCGGGGCCTTGGGCCTTGTGATTGTCAGACAGGCATACTTGTACTGCTTTAGCCCTTTTCCTTTAGTTGCTCGTGTCTTTGTGTGGTCGGGCACTGCGATCTTACATCCCCCATGTAGCTGGATTGCAAGCCTGAGCCACGACAACCAATTCGCTGGTTGAGATGGGGTCTGGATACTGTCTTTGTGATCTCTGGGGTTATAGGAGTGAGTACCACACCCAGATGTGATGTGCATCCCGAGGGGAGTTTTATTTGAACGGAATAGCACCCCAATCCCAGGATGTGTTTCCTCTCCCTGTTTTGTGGGTAAAACCCGAGGTCCCAAGGCGGAAGTGGCCATGCAGTCAGAGAACAGCACTGGAGCAGCACCTGCACCTACTGCTTTATGGCTGCCCCCTTCCCCAGACAGGCGGGTAGACCGCGGGGCCTCTGTCCTGTCTGGGTTCCTAGAGAGCCTCCAGGCTCAGGACTGATTCCCGGGGGCCTGGCCGAGGACCGGCTTTCTTTTCATACCGTGGAGCAGTCATCTCTCAGGCGATCGTGAGATCCTCTGTGACCGCATTTTCCGGACGTCACAGTGTCGGCTCACAACCCCACGGGTGTGGGTGCACGTGGCCCACTTGCTGACCACACAGCCTTGGGTGACGATGCTGGGCTCAGGCTTGGAGAGGTCGGGCCATGAGGGCCGCTGGCCTGTGTGGACGCTTCCTGTCTGTGAGGAAACAGCGTTCCTGGGGAAGAAAGCGGGGTTGGCGGGGGACTGGGGCGCTGTTGGGGTGAATCTGGCCCTGATCACAAGGCCAGAGCTGTGTTTCAGAGCTGGGGCCCTGAGTCATGACAGGAGTGATGTGAGGGCCTGGGAGGCCGGAGGCCCTGAAGTCAGGGAGGTCCCCCGGCCCCGCCCGGCCGGCCCTCGGTTCTCACACCCGTCCGGGACCCCTGGGAAGGAGGGATGTTATGACCAGGGGGATTTATGGCAGTAGCGACGGTTTGCACTCTGAGCTGGCCAGCCTGAGCCACCAGGAGCAGCTTCACGCCTACCGCACAGCCCCCAAATGGCGTTTCCAGCTGGACACGGGGCCCCTGCTTGGCTTGGCCTGAGATGGCTCTGTTTTCCATCTGTGCAGGGGCCCCGCGGGGCGAGGCTGCTCCAAGAGCTCCCCGGGAGCCTCAGGGAGGTGGGGAGCAGCCGGGACGGACCCCAGCCACACAGGCAGGAAGTGGGCCCCTCACGGAGCACCTGCCGCGGGCACAGGCCCCGGCCCCGGCCTGACCGCCAGCTCTGTGCGGCTCCACCCGCCTGTCCCTACCTGCCCCGTGCCAGGAAGGGCGGCAGACAGCTCCGGCCCCCTGTCCTCCTGCCCTGGCCGGCCCCGGAACACCTCAGGCCGCAGGACACCTCCACCTCTCCCTCTCACTGCCAGTCCTACCGACACTTGTATGGACTGTCCACTCCACCAGCCCGCTTCTCCCTAGGCGTCCACTGGCTCTGCTCTGCTCCCACCTCTCCTGATTG